TTTGTTAGGAGGAAAGGAAAAAGATTATTCCCAATACAAATGACTAAAATAAACTTCTATTAAATATATTAAAAGTCAATTAAAATTTTGAACATACACAGCCATAGTTTCTAGAATTAAGAAAATTCTAATGTTGGGGTTCTCTTTTCAAAGAGTTATTTGTGCGACTCTCTCCTCATGCTCCTGTGCATAATTTGACAGTGTATTAAGAATTTCCATAAGAGAGATATTCAAAAGTACTGCTTTCACACACGTATATTCTATTATAAAATTATGTCATTCAATGTAGTCTAAGATATTGGATGTAAATTGTAACCACTTTTTAACAAAATTTCTGAACTTACAAGCTTTTCAAAGTTTCCTCTGAAATTTACAAACCATGAGAAGTGTCTCAGACTTAAAACATCTAATAATTTGAATTACAAACTTAATCTAAATACTGATTTACAAAGTAAAACAATAAATAAATAAAAAGGCACACAAGATAATTGCTAATCCTGACTTTTTCAGGATCTGTTTCAATAACTTAATACCTCTTTCCATCCTAAGGCTAGTTTAAGAAGAAAATCTAGTACACATACAGGGAAGCCAACTGTTTTAATGGTACCTTGATTAATTTCACAAAATAAAAATTGGTCTGTCAATTTTATTTATTTTGTAGAGATAAAGAAAGCCATCACCAAACATGATACTCATTAACTTCTTAATACAATCTCTCCTTTCTAGTAAATTTATATACAGCTAATAATTTTAATGGGAAAAAAAATTATCAATCAGAACCCCTAAAACTTAACTATAAAAACCACCAACTCAATCTACTCCTTTCTGCTATCACCAAATTATTTATTCTGAATGGTCACTGTACCAAAACTAAGTAAAAATTTTGTTATAATTCTAGACTAAGATGTGATTATGTGGGTTGTGGATGAAAAAAAAAAAAAAAGGCAATGTAATTTCAGCCCTTGTTGGTTAATGCAGTCATGACAGAGTATCACATCTAACTTCAAGCAAAACTACAAATATACTTGGTCAAGGCATTAAAACATAACAACTATATTTCTTCCATATTTTCCCAAGGGAAAAACTATCAATTTTCTTTATAAATATATAGAAAACCAGTCTCAGAAAAATCAGACATTTCTGTAGTAAAAAACAAAAAAAAGTTGAGTACAGCCAAAATATTTCACATCCTTTACAATCATGAACTGTTTCAAAACTTACCTATAACTGAAAAATTTCAGACTCTATATTAGAGATAAGTAAACTCAAATATTTAAATCAACCCTACTACCAACAACAAAAATATATAACCCAATCTTTTGTAAATAACTTTCCTTTAAAACGGACAAAATATTAACAAGCTGGCTTTTTTTTATTAAAAAACAATACCAAGAGTTTAATTTAATTACCACAGAGGTATTTTTATTAACAAGATATGACATGTAGAAAACTATAAATTTATTAAAAAGGGAGAGTAACTTTTACATATAGCCTATGAAAAAACAACTAAATATAACTTAAACTTACTAAACCAAACTAGAAGCTGTATGCAATCTATAAATATGATGACCAGTGCCCACTTGATTCTCTGTGCTGTAAAATGTATTAGAACAGCATATAGCAACAGGTGGCTATTTCATTGGATCACATCTGAACAGAATAAAAAACTCTTGATACAAAAGTCTTCTTTTAAGAGAGTTTTGCTACTAGCCGCTTACGCTTGCTGGAGAGACAGAGAGATGAAAGCAAGAAATCAGCCCCCAGGGGGATAGCCACGCCACAATCCCTTTTCCTCCATTCTCTTCTAGGGATTCTGGACACACACGAACATGTGCCTAGTGTAAGTTTTAAGCCACTGGGTCTGGGACTTGAACCACAGTCTTCTACATGGAAGTCCAGCAACATAACCATTACACCATCTGCTGGTTCCACAAAAGACTTATTAACTGGGCTGGCCTTGTAGTATAGAAATTAAGCAGATTACACAGGGAGCCAGACCCCACATGACACCAAATCTTGGCCCTGGCAACTTGAAAAATATCCTGCACTTGTATGTACATGAATGCTCAAAATCCTCAGAGGAAGGAGAAATGGAGAAGTCTGAGAAGTGGTTTTCTCTCTTCTCCTCTCACTTTCTCTCTCTGGTGAATGCATATACCCTCTAGAAATTAAAAAAAAAATATATATATATATACACATACATATATACATACATACATACATATATATATATATTATTGGTAAATTTCATTTTTAAAGACTTTTAAAAACAAGCAATAACTTATAATAGTGACAATGATGTTAGTATCTTCCATTACACATTAATTCCTCCATTCTGCTATTGCTAAAAAAAAACCTGAAGATTAGCCACAATTGGGCCAGTTAGTGCCATGGTGGTTAAGGCAATGAGATTTCACATTGCCAGACCTGGAAGCTTGAAAAACATGCTAGGGATGTGTTTCATGCATGCGTCCCCAAAATCCCAAAAGGAGGCAAAAATGCAGAAGAGACTATGGCATGACCATCCCCCACTGATAGGGTGCTTTCTGACTTTCCCTCTCTGTCTGTCTCTGACAAGTGCATGCATCTTCTGCAAAATTAAAACCAATCAGCCACAACGTTTGGGGAAACTATTAACTACTACTTTGCCTTTAACAAAATAAATAGAAGTATTTCAGAATGTTAATTTCTCTGCCTGAATAAATATTTATGATTTTTAAAATATGAACTGTTAAGAATCAATGATTTCTGAATGATTATTAGTACTCAGAATTACTAGGTAACGAAGTTCAATCTACAATAACCTAGAAACTTATGTTAGACTTAATACCTGACATGAACACATTTCCTCATGTGCTGTTTCTCCCAAAGGCCTTCTTCTACTTCCTGAAGTAAGTTTAGCTACTTAAGAGTTCATTACTAAGAAAACTAGAGTTATTTAGAGACACAAGGAAGGGGACACATAGTATATCAAAGAGTTCTTATCTATCTGATAACTAAATCCTTCTATATGATTTTCAAACTGTGCTAATTTTTACAATACTGACAAATACAAGTCCAAATACAGCAAGTACTACTCTGAAATAAAAGAATACATGAAAACTGTGGAGGAGATGTGTACCTATATATATAAATAAGCAAGTTAGCATATTCCTACTATTTAGTTAAACTGAACAAATATGTACAAACATACACGTGTTAAACAAGAGAAAGCAAGGTAATACCCAAACATAAACAACATGAATAGTACAAATAGAGACCATATTCCTATTTCACTAAAGGCAACATAAAAAAGACCTTACTGAAAGTACTATACCTACTTTTGGGCCTCACAACTTCAAAAGTAACATAAAGATGTGGGATAACATTTAAAGTAAAATTGAAAAAAGAGTAGCTGAATTTTAAAATGACATATGAAAGATTATGGGATTCAGGATGGGTTAGTTTAGGATAAATATCATGGAATATTATGTAAAATATATAAAGAACAATTAATATTTTTAAACAGCAATGTACCTAGCTGGCCTTTTTTCCCTTTTAAAAAAGAATAAATCAGAGCAAAATAAAATAAATATTTGCTATAAAACATTGGATAACACATTAAAGAGGTGGTGGTATTTATTTTCTCATGCCGCAAAGAGAAATGCTTAATTATCTATGATAGTCCAGGCAAAGCTTTGATGGCAAATTAATTCCATCTCAGTTTAATTTTATGTGAAGGAATGCAATCTGGTAAAGAAAACTATCCAATGACAGAAATATATTTGGCTCTACAGAAAAATTAGGACAAATATAATAAAGGACAAATCTTATGACTAGTGCTAAACAATTGCCATACATACACACACACACACACACACACACACACACACACGTATGCATTTTTTTTTTTTTTTAAAGATTTTTGTTACAGGGCACATGCGCTTATCAGACACAGACAGGGAGAAAGTGAGAAAGCACCTCCCCAAGGATGATGGCCACGCCACAATCCCTTCTCCTTCATTCTACTCTCAGGTTTTGGGCATGTGCCCACACACTCTTGCTGTGAGATTCAAGCCACCAGGTTTGGGATTTAACCGCGGTTGGACACATGAAAGTCCAACACCACAACCACTATACCACCTGCTGGCCCCCAAAATATTTTTTTTTATATTATAATTATTCTCCATTTAACTGACTATAGAGAAGTGAAACTTCATCATCAGAATCACCTGAGCAGTTTTTTGTAGCTATATAATGACATGCTCTTTTATCCCTTCCAAAATTGTTGAGCGGGAGGTAGGGAAATGGCTTGAGAAGAAGGGTGAGGAAAATATATTATGTGATGAATACAAATATATATATTATGAAGAAAATTCCCCAGGTGATTGATATACCTACTGTTTACTATTTGCTGGGGATTTCTGTTTGAATTAAGTGATATGATGATTAGAGCTTAGAAATAATTTTCACAGATGAATTAGTTAAAATATAATTTTACCTATGTAACAAATAGGGAGAAGCAACTAAGGTACCCTATATAACAGTTTACTATTTCTTGCATATTTAAGGTAGTAAAGGAAAAATACTTTTGTTTTATGAAAAGTTAGATTTAAGTATGAACTATAAAAAAACTGTCCAACGTTATCTACAAAATTGGTAAGTTAATTTAAAAATCAATTGTAGAAAAACTTCCTAGTTCCTACACTCTATATTACTCAGCTATAGTCAAAACCAAATGTATTACCACAAAAGATTATAAAAACATTTAAAATACAATTTTATATGATTTTTATTTACACTTTAGAATTTAAACAACTTGCTGGGAACATCCTTTGTGAGGCAGCATAGTCTTTTTTTTATTTGGAACTATTTACTTTTCATGAAGGACTCACTAGTTTCTTTGTTTTTGTTTTTGTTTGTTTTCCAAGAACAAGCAACAAATATGTTAGCCGAAATAGCCGACTTAACGATCATTTGTGACAAAGACGTGATTATGTGAGCCTAGAGAGCCTCCCCACCTCTGTTTCTCCTGTGGAGGAGGAGGCCTTAGTGTGTTTTTGTGTGATGGTTCCACTGAATTCATTACAATAGAGATGGACATTTGATATTCATAACAATCCAACATCTGAGCAATCTTCTTTCGAGATACACCATGTTTATTCCTCCTACCAAAAAAGAAAAGGATTTTTAAAAAGTTTACATATGTAAGCTTAAACTGTTTTGAGTAACATAAGATAGTTTCCAAATTATTTTGCAAATACATTAGAAGATATATTTTAGTTCCTACATTTTATATAAAGATTTGTATTGACAGTCTCAAAATTTTGAACATTTGTTAAAAGTTTAAAGATATCATAAGTCAAAGCAAGATATGTGAATTCCTTATATAAGTTTTTCACAAAGAACTACCTATTCACTGACTCACTGAGTATGTGTGTGTGTATATATATATATGTATATATATATACACACCACTGCTTTTATCAGTAACAAAATCAAAGGTGAGAAATTGTTTTGAGAATTATACAAGGATTAGATCTTATAAAAGTCTATGCAAAATATTTACCACTTTTATTTATAAGTTGTTTTAGGACAGTTTCTATCACATTCTTAAAATTTATGATCAATACCAAATTACTATTGGAGATACAACAATATGAGCATCTCTACAAACATAATGTTGATTGAACAAAACTAGACATGAATATATTTAGTATGATTCTATCTTTAAAAAGTTCGAAAAAAGGCAAAATTAAATGATGGTATTAGGGCAAAAGATGTTATGGTAAGACTAAAAAAAACAGCTTTCTGTCTGTGGATGCTGCACTGAAGTCTCCCTTCCCATGCTAACATGTCTAAGACAGAGTCTCCTAAAGAGCAGGAACAACGGGAAGCTCTTCATTGAATGGTTGAGTTTTCAAACAACTGAGAGCCTGAGGAGTCATTCTGACCAGTGGGGAATGGTCACGGACTGCATGGTAATGCACGATCCAAACACCAAATGCTTCAGGGGCTTTGAGTTTGTCACATGTGTCACTGTGGAGGAAGTGGGTGCAGTCGTGAATGCAAGACCACACAAGGTGGATGGAAGAGTGGAATCAAAGAGGGTTGCCTCAAGAGAAGATTCTCAAAGACCAGGCACCCACTTAATTGTAAAAAGATCTTTGTTAGTAGCATTAAAAAAAAAAGACACTTGAAGAACATCACCAAAGAGAGTATTTCAAACAGTATGGGGAAACTGAAGTGATTGAAATCATGCCTGACTGAGGCGGTGGCAAGAAGAGGGGCTCTTCTTTTCTAACCTTTAATGGTCATGACTGTGAATAAGACTGTCATTCAGAAATACCATACAGTAAATGGCTACAATTGTGAAGCAAGGAAAGCTCTGCCCAAGCAGGAGATGGCTAGTGCATCATCCAGCCCAAGAGCGTGAAGTGGCTCTGGAAACTTTGGTGTGAAGTGGCTCTGGCAACTTTACTTAGAAGTAGTTTGGGTGATAACTTTGGTCATGGAGGAAACTTCAGTGGTCATGGTAGCTTTGGTGGCAGCTGTGGTGGTGGTGGATACAGAGGAAGCAGGGATGGCTATAATGGATTTGGTAATGATAAAAGCTATTTTGGAGATGGTAGAAGCTACAATGATTTTGGCAATTACAACAATCAGTCTTCAAATTTTGGACCCATGAAGGGAGGAAACTTTGGAGGCAGAAGCTCTGGTCCTTATGGTGGTATAAGCCAATATTTTGCCAAACCATGAAATCAAGGTGGCTATGGTGGTTTCAGCAGTAGCAGCAGTATTGCAGTGACAGAGTTTTAATTAACTGCCAGGAAACAAAAGCTTAGCAGGAGAGGACAGCCAAAGAAGTGACAGGGATGCTACAGGTTACAAGAGATGTGTGAACTCAGCCAGCACAATGGTAGCATAGCAGGGCCTAGCTGCTACAAAGATCTATTTTAAACAATACTTAAGTGTATGGGCAAAAATCTCATGGACTGTATTTGTGACTAACTGTATAATGGGTTATTTTAGTTTCTGTTCTGTGGAAAGTGTAAGCACTCCAACAAAAGGTTTTAATGTAGTTTTTTTTTTTTTTTTGCATCCACATTGTTGGATCATTACATGTAATAGACTGATCGTGACACTAAATAAATGTGTCTTCAGAAAGAAAGAAAGAAAGAAGAAAGAAAGGGAGGAAGGAAGAAAGGAAGGGAGAGAGAGAGGGAGGGAGAGGGAGGGAGGGAGGAAGGGAGGGAGGAAGGAAGAAAGGAAGAAAGGAAGAAAGGAATAAAGTTTACTATACGAAAGCAGTGGGAATTTAGGGAATCAAATGTGACCAGGGAATCAATTGTGACCAGGAAGAGGAATGCAAAGAGCTTCAAGGTGCTTGTAATGCTCTGATAACATGAGTGATGACTAAATGTGTATTTGTCCTATAAGAACTTTATTAAGCTATATATTTAAATTTTATATAATTTTCAGTATATTAACTTACATGATAACATAAAGTGATTTGAAAATTATTCTTGACACTCAAAGAACTTTTGACAATTTATTCACCTTTAGTTTTCTGTAACTTGACTTGAACATCACAAAACACAGAAGAACATATTTTACATTTAATACTATAGTTTAATATTTACTAATGTTAATTTTTCTCAGAAGAAGATCACAAGATAAAGGTTTACTTTTCAAATATAAAGTTTATGTTCAAGATAAGAAGAGAAAGCAAAAAAGATTAAAAGACGAGCTAAAGTTGAAAACTGTCAAGATATGATTAAATCCACAAGGAGTCAAAATTGATGAGTCATGGGGAGAGGTAGAAGGGGCTCAGGAAAAAAGCAGTTAACACACAGTAATGCAAGTAGGTGGGGCAAACAGGTTACAGAACATACTACAACAGAGTGAAAAAAGATGCTGCCAATCTTACACATCTATTTTTCTCAGAAAAAATGTAAAAGAAAAGAAAAGGAGTAGAGCATAGTGGTTAAGCTGAGTGCATCTCACTTGGCCGACTGCATAGTTCAAGTCTCAGACTCAGAGGCTTTGAAAAACACTCAAGGCATGTATGCGTATATACCAAAAAAAAAAAAAAAACTAAGAAGAGAAAGAACTGTGGTATGACTATCTCCCTAGAAGGTACTTTCTCACTCCTTCTCCCCAACTCTGGTGAGTGCACATACCCTATAGATAAATTTAAAAAAAAAAACAGGGGGAAACTTGTAAGGCAAAAATTAAAGGTACACATCATAATGTGTTCTTTGTTGAAATGATGAATGATGAATATGGTAATATGTTTCATTTGATTATCACACTGCATGCATGCTTTGAAAATCCATATTGTACCCCACAAAGAAGTACAATTAAATGTAAATGATATAACCAAAAAAAATTTTTTTTGAGAGGTTTTTACTATAGGGCGCGTGTGCTTGCCAGAGAGAGAGACAGAGAGACAGAAAGCAAGAAATCACAGCCCAGGGGGAATGGCCACACCGCAATCCCTTCTCCTCTACTCTCCTCTCAGGATCTTGGCCACGCACATACATGCACCCGGTGTTTGAGTTTTAAGTTACCAAGTCCGAAACTCGAACCGCAGTCAACTACAGGGGAGTCCAGTGACAGTCATTATGCTAACTGCTGTTTCCGAAGCAAAAAAATTTTAATTGATGATTCAATCAATTGTTTTTTTTGGGGGGGGAGAGGTTTTCGCTATAGGGCGCATACACTCGCCAGACAAACAGAAAGAGACAGACAGAAAGTGAGAAATCACCCCCAGGGGGGATGGTCACGCCACAATCCCTTCTCCTCCATTCTCCTCTCGGGATCTTGGGCACGTATGCACACGCACCCAGCATGAGTTTTAAGCTACCGGGTCCGGGACGCGAACCCACGGTCAACTACATGGGAGTCCAGCGACATAGCCATTACGCTAACTGCTGGTTCTCTATTCAATCAATTATTTTTAAAAATCAAACTTTGCCAGGTATCAGTTTTTTTGTTCCTGTTTTTATTAAAAGATTATTATTTGTCATAGGGTACATGTGCTCACAGGACAGACAGTGAGAGGGAAAGTGAGAAATCACCCCCAGGGGGTAATGGCAATGCTTCAATCCTTTCTCCTCCATTCTTTTCTTGAGATTCTGGGTATGCACATGCCCAGCATGATTTAAGTCACCCAGTCCGGGACTTGAATCATCATCGGCCATGTGGAAGTTCAGCACCTTAACCATTACACCACCTGCTGGCCCCCAGATATCAGTTACTGACCTCAAAAGAACTTTCTTTTTCTTTTAAAACCATTATTTAATTATATTCATTTTTTTTCACATTTTACTGATTCACAATTCACAAATGAGCTTAATTAAACTACATATTTTCAATAGTAAGTACAATAGATATAAACATATCTATAAATACGTCTGACTGGGCATAAAACCCAGTGAGTAGAATGAATGTTCTATAAAGTAGCACCTAGCTGACGCTAGATAGCTTACTGAGGTCATTAAGTAGATATGTTTTTTATTTATTTTTTGTTTGTTTCCCATGTATTTTTTTTTAATTTCAAGAAAAGTAGTTTTAGCTCTGGGACCAGCAGTTAGCGTAATGGCTATGTTGCTGGACTCCCACATAGTCAACTGTGGTTCGAGTCCCGGACCCGGTGGCTTAAACTCACGCCAGGTGGGTGTGCGTGTGTGCGTGCCCAAGATCCCTAGATCCCTAGAGGAGAATGGAGGAGGAGGGATTGCAGCGTGGCCATAACCCCGGGGGGTGATTTCCTGCTTTCTGTCTCTCTGTCTCTGTCTGGCGAGTGCACGCGCCCTATAGCAAAAACCTCTCCAAAAAATTAATAAATCAAAATCAAAAAAAAATTTTTTTTAGAGCTTTATGCTATAGGGTGCATGCACTCACCAGAAAGACAGACAGAAAGCAAGCAATCACCCCCCTGGGGGAGATGGCCACACTGCAATCCCTTCTCCTCCATTCTCCTCTCAGGATCTTGGGCACACATGCACACGCGCCCAGTCTGAGTTTAAACCACCAGCTCTGGAACTCGAACCGTGGTTGACTACATGGGAGTCTAGCAACATAACCATTACACCAAATGCTGGTTTTTTTCTTTTTTAAAATTTGCTTAAAACTCAAAAGCCAGGAAAAAAGGTTAGGATTCTGTTTAAACAGTAGGCAGATACTAAAAACTCAAAAAACAGATGTGGACGAAGCTAAAATTTAGTAAGAAGTGTACTGTAATTTTCTTCTGAAACATTTTTTCTCTCTCCATTCCCCCTTTTACTAAAGAGAGGCATAAACCAACTTATTTGGAAAAAAAAAAAAGTTTAGTCTCAATTTTGTCTCTTATTTACACAAACCCCCAATTTAGATCATCAATTAGATGGCTTTGCTAGAACCTTTTAAAGGAACCTTCAGATAAGACTCTTAACAAGCCTCCCAAGGCTGCTGAGTCAAGTCAGGAATTCACCATCTGACTGTACATTTAAGTGCCCGTACTTGACAGTTTTTTGGGCCTGCTAGGAAGTAACATTCTTTACCTGCCAAGTAGAACTGTTCACAATACCAGGCAATTTTTCCAGAACCTTCTGTTGGCTTTCTAGAAAGCTACCTCAGTTCCTTAGCTTTCTGGTCATATCTTCAGATATGACATTCCAGAAAAAGCTCCGGCAATAACCAGTGTTTTCCATTTCTGATGTAAAGCAACAGATATTATTGAACTTACGCAAATAACCATTCTGCCACAAAAATAAGAATGCTCACTAGTAGTTTCCTATTCCAGAGGGTTCAGAAAGGGAGAAAAATTTGTTTTGATTTTAAAAACTTACAAACAAACAAATTTAACAAATTGTTGAACCTATCAACAACTCAAAAGAAAACAAAAACCCTTAAATCTGGAAAACAAAGCATAGAAGAAAATCAGTAATCTTTTAGTCATAGGTCATAAAATTCTATTTCACCAGTTCAGTCTCATGTATTTAATCTCTCTTTTGTTTAATCTGCAGTGTTAATACACTCCAATCTTTCTGTTTAAATCCTGGAAGTTGACATTCAACATTATTATTGATCCCCCAAACAACTTTTGACCATTTAGTCATTTTCACAGTTTTTCTATAACTTGACTTGTTATATAAAGGCAACTTAAATTAATAAAAAATTTCAATAGTCCCTCAGAAGTAAAAACAAAGCCAAACTGTATAATCATCTCCTCACTCATTTATTCAGCATAATTCAAACAGTTTTAGTTTTCAAACTTGTCTCTTCCACCTCAGGTATGATACAAACATAGACAGGTAAACGAAACCAAATATTAATATTAATAAATCTGTCAGTTTATTTATGTCATCCAAATCAGAAAGAATATAGCCAAAGGAATGAAAGGCAAGGGGAGACAGAATTAAATTAACTGGATCCCACACATAGAATAGTAAAAGCTTGAAGTTGGAAAAAGGTAAGTGAGAGAAAAAAACTGGTTCAAAAAGAGGGGGCATAATGGTGGCACAAGTTGGTAACTATACTGAAAACCACTAACTTGTATACTTGAAATGTATAAAATGTAAGATATGTAAACTATATCTAATAAAGTCATTACCAAAAAGGGGAGAAAGGAAGTAGAAGTAAAAGTGGAAGAGGAGGAAGAAGAGGAAGAAGAGGAAGAAGAAGAGGAAGAAGAAGAAGGAGACCAGCAGTTAGCGTAATGCCTATGTCACTGGACTCCCGTGTAGTCGACCGTGGTTTGCGTCCTGGACCCGGTGGCTTAAAACTCACCCGGGTGCATGTGCGTGCGTGCCCAAGATCCCGAGAGGAGAATGGAGGAGAAGGGATTGCGGAATGTCCATCCCCCGGGGGGTGATTCCTTGCTTTCTGTCTCTCTGTCTCTCTCTCTCTGTCTGGCGAGCGCACGCACCCTATAGCGAAAACCTCTCAAAAAAAAAAAAAAAAAGAAGAAGAAGAAGAAAGTCATAGAGAAAGTAGTGATGTAAGGGATAAAGGTAAACACATGAAAGATCGGGGTTGAAAAATTCAGTCTGTCACAAGTTCTGAAAGCTTGGTTTTCTGTTGATTCATAGGCACCAATATAACCAGATCCAAATCATTTGAAGCACTACTAGAATTGACGTTATATTACTTATTGATAGACTCTTTGTTACGTAAACTTAGTCACGACTTCCTACAGAAAATATTAAGATATCTGATTACAAGATGCTACTCCAAACTCTGGTAGGGCTACAATTAGATATTAAGTACTACACTATCTCTCTCTTTTTAAAAAATTATTTATTTATTTATTCATTCATTTATTTCAATTTGACCAGAGAGACCGGGGGGGGGGGGGGGGGGGAGGGAGGAAAGCAACCCC